AATCTTAATTGTAGGGGATTTTAATATCCATGTATGCTGCTCCTCCAACCTGCTGGCTAAAGACTTTTAAATGTGATAGACTCTTTTAGCTTCACCCAGCATGTATTGGATCCAATACATGTACAGGGCCACACGTTGGACCTACTGTTGTCTTCTGGATTACCAATTTCTAATTTGGAAATATCGAATGCGATTTTCTCTGACCATTGTCCAGTAGTGTTTGACACTTTTATCTCACTGCCATTTTAAACCAACAAGCCCAACACGCCGTTATCGTGTTTTTAAACCACTGACTATAGAACAGTTCTCCACTGCCTTTAACAATGGTCGGGTTCTTCCCTTGTTGATGGCACCGAGCAGATCGGATCAAACTTTTCTAGTAAATGCAAGGCTAACAACTCAATCAGACCCGAGGATAAACGAGACGATCAGCTAGACGACAGGAAGGCTGAACGAAAATGGAAAAAAGACAAGTACAAGTTTCTTTTCTGCTGCTGAGAGAGAGTCTATATAGATATCAGGACATTGTAAAAGCTGAAAAATCTAAGTTTCTCGCAAACAACTCTAATAATCCCCAAACTCTCTTCTCAGTTATTGATTCGGGTTGAATACCTCCCCTGCCTCTCATATGTATAGCTCTGCTGAAACTTGCCGTAGATTCTTGCAGTTTTCTATTAATAAGACAGAAATGCTTCGATCTGTGTCGACCCATTCTCTGTACGATGCCTCACTAACATAGACCTGTTCTACTGCTTTTAACCAGTTTGAGCCTGTATGTTTTAACCAAGTGGGAGATCTTTGTAATAGCATAAAGACATCATCCTGCCCCACAGATGGAGTCCCAACACATTTTTTAAAAAGATTATTAAGGTAGTCGGCTCCGACATTTTAACTATTTTTAATAGCAGTCTCAGCTCTGGAGTGGTACCAACTGGATTTAAGCACGCTGTAGTGCAGCCAGTGCTTAAAAAATCGAACCTTGACTCCTCTGTTTTTGCTAATTTCAGACCTATCTCCAAGTTTCCGTTTCTGTCAAAGGTTTTGGAGAGGATTGTATTTGAGTAGCTACAATCCTTTCTAAATAATCATAACATCTTTCAGATATTCTAGTCAGGTTTCAAAACCCACCACAACACAGAAACTGCCCTCCTAAAAATTCTTAATGACATGTTGTTAATCACCGATTCAGGTGACTCAGCTCTGCTCCTTTGATACTGTTGACCACAGTATTCTGATCTCGCGTCTGTATCAGAGGTATCTCTTTGGAGTGGTCTTCCCTCTCTGAGAGGACTTTTTCCGTGAGCCTCTGTGATTTCACTTCCTCCACAGCTTCATTTACTTGTGGTGTCCCGCAGGGTTCCGTATTAGGCCCAATTTTCTTTTCAATCTATATGCTACCCCTGGACCTAATCTTTAGGAAGCATAACATCTGCTTTCACTCTTATGCCGACGACACCCAGATTTATCTTGAGCTTAATAGAAACACCTCCACTTCCATGGATTCTTTATTCAAATGCCTTGACCAAGTTAAAACCTGGATGGTCTCAAATTTTCTTACCTTTAATGAGACAAAACTGAAGTAATTAGCTTTAGACCAAGTTGTAACTTTAATGCCCCAGATTTAGATTTATGTAACTTAGCATTTGTTGTAAAAATAAAAAAAAAAACCCTGGGGGTTTTCTTGGATAACAAACTTGCATTTGAGAAACAAATTAATTCAGTTGTTCAGCGGTCCGTTTTTAAATTAAGGCTCCTATCCAAGGTGAGATCATTTTTATCCTGTAAAAACCTGGAGCGAGCAATCCATGCGTTCGCCCTTTCTCACGTGGACTACTGTAATTTGCTATACGTTGGTGTCAGTCCAGTCTGGCATGGCAACAACTTGTACAAAATGCTGCAGCCTGCCTTTTGACTCATGTGAAGAGACATCAACATGTTACCCCGGTCCTTGATTTTCTTCATTGGCTTCCAGTGCATTTTAGAATTAAATGTAAAATCTTACTTTTGCCTTAGAAAGCGCTAAATGGCCAAGCACCAGACTGTCTGACCTTTTGCAGCTTTAACAATCTACCTCTCCACATTAGAAAGGCCCCACCTGTCACTCTTTAAATCCCATCTTAAAACACATTTTTTCTCTTTGGCTTTCTATACTGTATGAGAGTTACCAATTTTTATTTGAATTTTCTTACCTGTTTGATGATGTTATTGTTTCATTATTACGTTGTACAGCACTTTGGTCGACTCTTTGCTGTTTTTAAATGTGCTTTATAAATAAATAAATAAATAAATAAAATGAGTAACTGACTCAGATCCCAGTGGCCCTGCCTTCCTGCACCTGTGTCTTCTTTAGGTGCTATAACGAGATCAGGACCTTGCAGCATTATAGACCCAAACTGCTGTTTATTGTAAAATGTTAAACGGTGTTAAGAACAGCAGCAGCTGGGTAGTAGTAGCTCAGGAGCAGTGTTGGGCAAGTTACTTTGAAAAAGTAATTAATTATAGTTACTTCTTCAAAAAAAGTAACTGAGTTAGTAACTGAGTTACAAGATTCTAAAAGCAAGTAATTACTTGAAAAGTAACTATTGCATTATTTTAAAAAAAATGTTTAACCCTTCAGGGTATAATTGGCTGTTTTTAACTACTTTTGGTGTTTCCTCCACATTTCACCTTTAAAACATTTCCTTTGCCTTGTTTGGTATCATTGTTTTCAGCACAACCTCACGTGTCTGAATTTACAGTTATCGACTACAGTATTAACACAACTGATCTAAAATCAGATAAAAAACATAAAATCCGAGTAGAAAAAGTTATATTTTTTACTGTAACAGACACAAACATGTTTATTGAATCATATTTCATAACTTTAAATGCAAAAACTAAATTGTCAATTTTAAAATCCTGTGCACAAGTTTTGCAAACAACAAAGTTATTTGCAGCCATTTACCCGTTTTCTAATAACCATTTCAAACTATTCACAGAACAATCAGCTGTTCTTCAATAAGATGCCACAAATTATTTGTGCCAAATATTTCTGTCCACTATAAAGGAAACATCACAGCCTGATACCTGCAGGTCTGACTGCAGCAGGTGTGTCACTGCTGTTTCTACCTGGAGACAGCAGTCGCCTCATTGTTCTGACACACAACACAAAACTATCCACAACACTACACACTAACTACACAACACAACACATTAACTACACAAGACAGCACATTAACTACACAACACAACACATTAACTACACACTCCAAACGTCACACATCTCTCACATCTCAAAACTCTCTCTCCATCACTCCTCCTCTTATTAAACAACCAAATGTCATGTTGCCATATCATGTTTTGATTGGTCGACATGGTGCATTTTTCCACCAACAGGCTGCTTTTGGTTTGTTTTTTAATTTTTTGGCTCATAAGCAGAGAGAGCTCGCTGCTCTGTCGAGTCACCTTGTTGCTTTGTCTTTAAGTGGTCATGTGATTGACCACGACTACTTTATTCTTGCTCAGTCAAACAGCAGCACTCATATGATTGTTTTGCCCCCTGAGCTCCAGGTGTTGTGCCAAAAAGTGATCGTCAGCCAGAAAGTGATCACCACCCGCGGGAGCGCGCAGCTGCTTAAAGCTGTAGCGTCCAGATTACTTACAGCTACTTCTGTGCAGCTGATATGAGGTGCTGTAAGCTGAACACAGCTTCAGCCATCGGTTTGTTGAAAAAGTAGTAACGCGACCGCATTTTCTTGTTAGTAACGGTGTTGTAACGATAGAAATAGTACTTAGTTAGATTACTCGTTACTGAAAAAAGTAACCCCGTTATTCCCATCACTGCTCAGCAGGTAGAGCAGGTCATCCTCTAATCAGGTGGGAGGTTCGATCCAGTCTCCAAGTATCCTTGGGAAAGATACCAACCCCAAGTTGCTCTCTGATACAGCAATCCGATTATTGTTCAGCATCTGCACACAAGCGGGAAACCATTTCTTTACCCCCAGTTTAAAGATAGCGCCATCTATGGACTCGTCTTAATTCATGTGCCACCGAGTTCCTCAAACGTGCCATAAAAAAGCAACAACTGAAGTTTGAGCTTCTTCACACTTTGGCCCAGAAGTTTTAATAAGAACAACTGATCAATGTCGTCATCTCTTTATTGTTACAATGCAATCAAACATCAGCATCTATTAGCACAGTGTAACAGTGTAACAGAGTAAGTCCAGCTTAAAAGCCTGAGTTGAGGAGTGAGGTGGAGGTTCAGGTTTTCTTGGGTCTGCCTCTGGATCTTTGGGCAAGTCCGGGTGATGTCTGGGTTCCCATTTCCACAAGTCTGGATTTGGGGTCACTGCAGGGCACCTTCCTGGATTTCGGAGTCTTTTGGGGACTTTTCTTTGGTCTGTCTGCAAAGTTAAATTCAGCAGGCTGTCAATCTTTGAACCCAAATGTTGTCATGTAGCTTTCATTCATAACCTCTGCTTCAGTTACTCTGACAGACACACTGACAAAAACTGGTTCACTCTGGAGAGGAAACCAACCGTTCTTCTTTGTGACTCTCTTTTTCTTGACGGGACTTGGATCCACCTCGCTCTCCTCCGCTTTATCGGCTGCCATCTTTCTTTTGGTCATCTTCTACAGAGAGAAACACGATAAATATGAAGAGAAGCACCAGTCGGTGTGTTGATGTTGACTAAAAGACACTACTTTAAACCTGGGAGTCCACTGTGGGTCCTGTACAGTTTGTTTCTACAGAATATGTTAAATCAAGAACAAATATGAATAAACATCAATATTTCCCACATAGATAATTACTGTCCAACTGCCTCATGCCATCAATGAGATTTAATTCTATTTTTACTGTATTAATATAGTGCCA